ACTTGGATCGCCGGGGTCACGACAAAGGTGAATACGTTTCTTCGAAAGACGCAGAAAATTCGTTTCTGATAAGCTAAGATTATTTTCTAACTATGTCTCTGAAACCCAACGCGAGGTTTCGCCGCATCTATAGAATTGATAGAAACTAGAAGAAACATTAACAGGCAGGTTGACCTATACATCAACAATACCATTGGCCGTACAGAGGCTCAAATCGACCTAAGGTACCGTTGTGATGGGAAACATCCACGGACCCATCATCGGCCTCGATATCGGTAATGTCCACATTGCTTGTATGAGAGTCTTTCTTATCTTTGTCCTGCCTATAAGCCGATTGGGTGGAAGGCAACCGAAATACCGTCTTCCATCCGATAGCTTGCACAGGTACATCCAAGATGGCGGCAACTCCTACAGCGCCTTCGTACAGTTCAAGCCCCCATATGCAAAGAAGCTCGTCGTGATGGTCGCCGTATTTCCATGACGTTGCGCTGGAACCCTGGGCAATGGATGAAGATGACTGCAGTGCCCTGATGTCGCCTAACCAGTGAGACAAGGCTTGCACCTCCGTCAGAGCGATACGCACAAGTGCGGGGCTCGATCTGGAGCCTACGCAACGCAATAGAATGTTTTTTGAGCTTTGAAGGGACTGACGGAGTCTAGGAACAGTAACTTTTGCGTCTTCGTCAAGCGACTTGATCAAGTCAGCAATCTCGCGATCGAGTGAAGACGCCATTTTCCGGAAACTACGACAGAAGAGTGTATGGGCGGGGTTATGTATAATTACTCCAGGAGGTAGGCTCACAGCGATATAAGCCATTTCTAATCGAAATGCTCGGTGCTTCCCCCCCCCCCCCCCCACCGCTCACATAATTTTGTTGCTCAGTCTCAACGGCCCATTACGGTATGTAGGTTCTGTGTAACCGCATCACGGCATCAATAGCATGAATGAAGTCAAGGTGAATGATCATCTACAAATAGCCCTATTTCTTGACAAAGCGCGCTTTGTCTATAGATACTTGAGTCTGATAGTTTAGTGACACTTGTTAATCACGTTCTTCAGCTCATTTGGTATTGTGCGTATTACATCGCAGGGTGTTCAATATGCGATGACATGATAGCACGTCTCTTGCCCATCGTGTCCTCTTTGGTCATCATTTTGAGCATGGCAGCTTGTGCTTTGTGTCACGAGATCGCCTCATCCAAGTTATTAGCCACCATAGCTAGCCACAGATGCGAAAAGTCGGAACACCAAGAGAGCAAATATAAATGACTGACTTCAAAGCTAGGTCGGCTGGGAGCTAACATTTCCACAGTTTTTTTTTGATGCTTCAATCTAGATGGTCAGGGCTTGATAATCCCAATGTGTTTACGTGGTGTGTATGGTCAGGGCTAGTCTGAAGCTCATCGAAACATACCAGAGCGATCTCTATCAATACGCCCTGATCTTTCATTGTTCGTGCAAGCATGAAGTACCAGTGTAGAATATTGCCAATAGGCCGACTTGGACTACAGTTGTTACAGCCAGCGGCTTCATTCCACCCATCATCAAACAGCCTTAACGGAAATGCAAAGTTTCCAACTCTAGAGACTGCTCGACCCTCACTAAGTATTGCTTGTGTCACTGCCAATTTGTAGCATAGAGCCTCGCTTCTCTGAGTTTGCAGATGCACAATTATATCAACGGTGCCTGCATTGTCGCGGTGGCAGCTCCCTCCTGGTTAATCTGATGTCCCGCCGGCGCTTTGGACTGCGATGAGACGCCTCGACTGAGTTTAGCTGGCCACTAAGGTGGGCGACTGTCTGGTGCCAGTCGGACACCGCCCTCACCAATGATGTAAGTAAGACACTGTGCCGTCGGAGACGAGCATAAGCTGTAAGGTTGATCAGTAGCGAAATGAGAAGGGATACAACGCAAGCACAGAGGAGCTCTTCCATGGCGGTATGAGTTTACATTGAGATGTGCCCACTTAAATATCTCGCAACCTGCCTACGTACGCCGCTGTGCCATTTCTCGCCGACGAATTTGATGTCATGATTAGTCACCGGGAACTACTTTTGTCTGATTGATGATGGTATCGAGCTGTCTTTGTCATCGCACTCCAACATCTGAATGTGACCCTT